GGCAAACTGGCCGCTCCAGTAGTAATGAAAAGATAATTCAACTCTGTTATGGAAACTAGCATGTATAAACCTTAATTAAACAATTTAATAATCAATAAAAAAAGGATATTATACCTGTATGAATTACGCTGTACCCACAATGGACCAGTGGTTTGGAAAATTAATGGATCATTCAGCTGCGTACGCCATCAAAACGCTGGCCTTCATTCAGCGCATTTGAGTGTACATCAATTGTACACTTGTAATTGCGGTGCATTATTGGATAGAATTAGTGCACTCAATAACATACACTGGTTTCAGACACCATCACAAATGGTTGTTCTCTCAAATAGTGCAAGGGTATAGGGGACGATTTCGGACAGAGATGTGCATTCAGGAACAGGGTTGGGAAACACTGGGTTAAAGTATCAATATTGTAATTATAAATGTAACTACAAATATTTGTTTTTTTTACCCAAGTACAATGCGAAAACATGTATGTCCACATAAGTATCACATTTATATATATATATATATATAATAAAAAAACATTTCTCCTTCTATAAAACCCTTTACATAAAATGTTTTTTATGACTGTATAGGTTCTGTATAGAAACCCATTGACCAAGAGTGTGGTGTCTATATAGGCCATAGTATACATGTATAGTATAAGAAATGGTTATGTCAGTCAAGTTTGAAATGCATCTAGGGGGGAAGTGTGTCTGCTTTTAGTGAATAGCTCTCATAATTATCATCGCTCTAGACGAGAGCCATTTAATGCTGTCGGGAGCTGGCGGCTGCCAAATGGGCAATATTGGTCATAACTTGCCGCGTTATGTCACGAGCGCATAAATCCAGTTGCATAATATCTTTACGACTCTGCATGGTGCTCATCTAATAGATTACAACTGAGATGAGGCCATTCAGAGGTCTTCATCATATACATATTTGTATTTTGGCTCTGGTCTGCAGAGCAAAATGGATGGCACGTAAATTATATTGTTGAAAGTGAAAGCTTTTTGTTATAATATTTGACTTTAATGACAGTCAGAAAGTAGATTATTGCAGCTCTGGATATGTAATGTCTGTACTAGTTGCTTTGAGCTCTAAAACCACAAAAATACGGCAAAGTAAATGTTCCGATATGCTTTTCTAGGGTCTCAAATGTGTCAAAAGGGTTGCGCCATTGGATCTGCTGAGAATCTGTGTGTGTGAGGCAGAATGAGACCATGAACTGGTCATGTTGACTTAGTTCATTGACCAAGTTCCAACTCATCGGTAACCTGTGTCCTCAGATAAGACTTATCTAACACCACGTGACTGTTTGTTTTCAGTAAGTGTGATTTATATGCTGCTTTAACTCAGATTTCTATCCATACTGTTAAATATGAAGGCTCATTCGGTAGTTTATTTTTTGCATACGTTTACAATTTTTATGGTGATTGTACCACTTTTGGATGGTTCGCCATCCCATACAGTCTGCTTTTGAAGTTTAGTATACCACATTGTAAAGTTGTGTCCCAAATGATGAAACTATGAATGGTGTTGTGAATTAATTTTAAAGGTAAAAACATAATTTCGTCGTTCAACATCAAAGTCTGATCGTCACATAAAGCAGTGACCGTTGGATGCATGGTGTCCAACATTACACTTTTTTTCCGATTAATTAAGTGCGCCATATTGGTATATAAATTATATATATACCAATATATTGGTATTTAAACTTTTTCAAATTTTCAGAGCGAACTATTGCCTATATGGTACAAAATGGCAACGAATAGTGCATAAGTACATGGATTGGGGCGTACCTTAAGTATGTTGTAGGTAGCATTTTCATCTGTTATTCCCACTTCGCAAAAAAAACAGTCTGATATGACTTTTAATGTCTTTTTAAATGGAATTCAAACTTTTAATGTGGATGTAAACACACCTAGTGTTTCATTCTCTGTAAACTTTGACCTGAATGCGTGCAACAGGCTGATATGAGTTACACTAAAATCATCTTAGCAATCTTGCGTGAATTGTCATGCTCTGAAAAAGTTGAGCTGTTTCTTTGAGGTTAACCATGTTCCTAATGCTACAAGACATTTTTTTCATAAATCTCTGAAACTGTCTCATTAAATATCTTAAAGATGAAGGATTTTTGCTACTTGCTCCATCCCTCTTTCTGCTTTCAAAGTAACTTTGTATCAAGCAAATTAATGTAATTTTCCATGTGAAATTTCAATATCAAACCATGTAAGTGAAGGGTTTTCTTGCTTATAATTGTGGTGCACCGAGATAAAACGGAGATTTTGACGGGCTTGGACTTGTTGTGGATTACGGCTTCAGCAGATGAGTCATGAGGCTGACGGTAGAGCTGTGCTGACTGTCCAAACCCTGCGAGAAGCAAAAAGACCCCAATGTTTCGTGCTCACAATGTGCCCAATCAGCACTTAACACACACACACACATAGCAAGAGCTCAGTTACGTAACGCTGTTGAGTATGGACAAAGGCTCTGCAGGAGACATTGTGTGCCATCTCTTGCTCTTTCCCAGTCTTCCATCAGTGCTTTTAAAATGAATGGTGCCCAGAGCAATACCTGATTTTTGGTCTTTGAAGCTCAATATCACAAATCCAATACTCTTTCACTGCTGCGAGGCTTTTGGATAAAAAATTCTTATGATTTGTGATAAGAAATTTCACAGTACAAAAAACGTGGTATGGTCATTATTTTGAGACTTAGATGACTTACATTTAACGTTCATCAGCTTTGATAATGTGATATGGGTTCATTGAGTGAGGAAGACTATGCCAGGTGCTGGATTTTGGAGAGGTCGTTATGATCTCACATGAGTTCAAAGAGTACTTGATTCTCATTCAGTCAGTAGTGACCATTGATTGTTAAACGAACTGGCTTTTTAAATTTTATTTTATTGTTGTGTGAGGTCAACTTATGACGTTCACTTGGTTTTTGCATTTGAAAACATTAAAATTAACAAGTAATAGGCTATTTTGCACCCTAGTTTTGAGCCCAACTGAAAAACGCTCGGTTTTTATGGGCATCTCGCACTGAAGACTTGGAAGTAAACGCCCACTGCTGTGAGTGGATAACAGTATAGCATATTATAATGAGTTTCAACTCTCTTGGGGGGAATTGTTTTGAAAACGGCTCGATCCGGTTTGTCATTATGAGGCAGGCCTATGTTATTTAGCTATGCGTGTAATGCGCAAATCAGTGGGCGGAGCTAAACCGGCCGTGTTGAAGTAGGTGTTGATCTTCTTCTGCGGGGGTGGTGACGTCATAGTTCCCCACTTTGAAAAACGTGTCAATAAGAGCTTTTATTGGACTAACAAGGACGTTTTCAGTTCTGAAACTTAAAGGGTATTCTTATAATATGATGACCTCTTAGATGTCAAAAGCTCAAGGGAAATTGATATCTCAGTTCATCACCCCTTCAAAAGTAGTGACATTTGTTCGTAACACAGCCTGAGTCATCCTGTAAGTACCGTTCACTGCAGTGGGAATCTGCAGTGGGAATCTCAATAACGGCATACAAATAAAAGAAACAAACAAATACGAATCAGTGTTTCACCTCCTAATAAATTAAACATATTCTTACTATTTATCGAATTTTTTTTTTGTATTTTAACATTGTGTTTAAGTATGTTCCATTACTGAGCTGATGTTAGATGTTCATAACCCTTATTCTCATGAAGATTGCCATTACTGTGCTATGGATGCAATTATACATTTATAACAGCGTAAGTTAAAGTAGTACGACAAATTTTTGATGTATTCTCAATATTTGATTTAGATTTTTACAGAGGCGTATTGCATTCACTTGAAGAAAAAAATGTACTCTGTTTTTCTGAATTAACGAGTTAATTTTTCATGAGAAAAAAAAATTGCTCTGTTTTTCTGAATTAATGAGTTAATTTTTCATGAGAAAAAAATTGCTCTGTTTTTCTGAATTAATGAGTTAATTTTTCATGAGAAAAAAATTGCTCTGTTTTTCTGAATTAATGAGTTAATTTTTCATGAGCAAAAAAGTTTTTGCTCTGTTTTTCTGAATTAACGAGTTCATTTTTCATGGAAATTTTTTTTGCTGTGTTCTGAATTAATGAGTTAATTTTTCATGAGAAAAAAAAATATGTTCCTCTGTTTTTCTGAATTAATGAGTTAATTTTTCATGAGAAAAAAAATATTTTGCTCTGTTTTTCTGAATTAACGAGTTAATTTTTCATGGATTTTTTTTGTTGCTCTGTTTTTCTGAATTAACGAGTTAATTTTTCATGAGAAAAAAAATATTTTGCTCTGTTTTTCTGAATTAACGAGTTAATTTTTCATGGAATTTTTTTTTTTTTTGCTCTGTTTTTCTGAATTGACTCGTTAATTCAGAAAAAACAGAGCAAAAACTTTTTTTTCTCACAAAAAATGAACTCATTAATTCAGAAAAACAGAGCAAATTTTTTTTGTCATGAAAAATTAACTCGTTAATTCAGAAAAACAGAGTAGATTTTTTTTTTCTTCAAGTGAATGCAATACGCCTCCGTAGATTTTTATCTTTTGATTTATTAGTGAATAACATTATAACGGGGTTTGGGGATTTTCACCAGTGCACATTGAATGTCTTAAGTAATATTTAATAACACGCATCCAATTTTGATGATGGCCAAATTGAAGATGACTTGTCAGATGTTGTGTGTGTGGGTTGCACATGTAGATATTTCTTAGGAACTCGTGTTCCTTCAACACCCACCATTAAGAGACTCTGCGAGTGTTTGCTGGTCATAATGTCTCCGTCCCGGCAGAGATTGCGGCCTACAGTCAAGCTGTGCTCGCAAAAGCAGAGGCTGTGAAAAACATGTCTCCGTTCACCTCCATCACTGCTCAGCCTGCAAAATAACACACACGCTGTCTGTCTGCACTTTGGTTTTTGTAGTCACACATCAGATCATTTTGTCTGCTTCTCCATTTCTGTGTTCGGTTTGACATTTTTGCTTTTTGTTTGTCTGTCTGTGTGTTTGCCATCTCAGCTTTGTACCAATGGCTAGAGGCCGATCGACAGGGCAAGGACCCAGAGGCCTTGGCAGCAGGTAAACATCATCATTAACCTCCTCACTGCTAAGCTCGCCTAAATCTATCCAGTTTTGTTTCCCATTCTCTGTTCCTTTGGCCCTGAGGACATTGTCAATTAAAGGGATACTCCACCCAAAAATGAAAATTCTGCCATCATTTACTCACCCTCAAGTTGTTGCAAACCTGTACGAGTTTCTTTCATCTGCTGAACACAATTGAAGATATTTTGAAGAAGGATTGGAACCAAACAGTTGTTTGGCACCATTGACTTCCATACTACTGGTGCAAATCCTCCTTCAAAATATCTTCCTTTGTGTTCAGCAGAAGAAAGAAACTCATACAGGTTTGCAACAACTTGAGGTCGTGTAGATGGGTGGTGTATCCCTTTAAGATCCTGGATGATTTGATCTTTAGTCACAGCAAGACAGACTGCTGTTTATGCACTTGGTATTAATATAACATGCTTCCCAAATGTATCTCCTGTGTCCACTTGTATTCAGACTTTGAGAAGAGGGTCTCTGATTTTGCGACTAAATACATTGTTTATTATAATGCGATACTTGCGTAATGGATAAAGCGCAAAAATGTAAAATCACACACCATTTCTCCCTGCACATTAATAATATTGATTCAATTCATAGTATTTAAAATTGAGTGTTTTTATAGATGCTTGCAAAATATATGTTCATATTAATTTTAATATTATAGAACGCACATTTTAGAGAGTTATGAAACCAAACATGTTATATTACTTGAAATTAATAGTTTGCATTTATGAAAGAAAATACTTGATTTTGACTTGTTGAATACCAAGTGGTAATGGGGTCATTGTTGTCATTTTAGCTTTCACTCCTCACTACTACTTCCTCCCTCTTTTCCTCTCGTTCTTTCTCAGTTTGCGATATGCAGGCTCACCATAGTTAAATGTGGGTCATTTGCCTCTGCTTGTTATTTGAAATCAGTTTCTGTTCTCTTGCAACACTGACTCTCTCTTGCTCCCTCCCTGTCTTGTTTTTCTGCTGTTCCCCTGCTGTTCTGGCAATCACTTCATGGGGTGTTTGCATCAGTCTGTCTCTCTTTCTCACGTGTATCCTTGCGGCCTCAGACTCTCTCTGTTATGAAGGGCTTTAGTAGATTTCTCCTCCTCCCTGTCCTTTCCTGTCCTGCCAAATCGCCGCTAGTTCACCCCACAGTGCACAAATTCAGGCCGTAACTGATCTTCACACATGTCAAAACTAAGCTGATTTGGACAAGTGTTAATTAGACTCTTCTTAGTTACCTCAGCACACTCTTCTGCCTTATTCTGTGTGCTGTTGTTGTCAGCTTATCAACACGTACCATCACCAAAATCGTTGTCTTGTTTATCTTTTCATGCTAGCTGCACGCTCTATCTTGTTTGCTTCACATCCATTTGATTTTAATCTGCTTTTTTACCTGTCATCAGATCCAAATCCTGCATGACACACTGTCTGTTCCTGTAATCTGCGCTGTTGTGGCAATCATGGCGCTTTTCCAATCTCTGTTCCCGCTTGTGCTTTGCTGTCAAAGCTATGGCGTTTCCATCGAACGCTGCAGGCGGCATGTGTCGGCCTGTTAATGATGCCCTAACATGCACTGAGCTTAAAGAAAACAAACCGTCGTGTTTCATGAAACTGTTGCTATCATGGAGGAAAAGAGCGAAAAAAAAGTGCCTCCCTGATGTTTTAGCCCACCTTTGTGTGCTGGTGTTCTGATGAGTAATGCTACCTATCAGATTAGCATAGTAGCATAGTAGCATAGTCTTAGGTTGCGAACACCAGCATTACAAATGGATAGTGATTACATGACATGATACATTTGAGATTCGAAACATTGTGTGTATACCATTTTGAAAATATTTATAATATTATTTAATATTACTTTGTTGAACGGTTTATATTATGAATTATTGATTGTACTGATGTCTCTGCATCATGAGTGAATGTGAGTGAGCGAATGAATGAGTGAGTCTGCGTGCGTGCCACTTGATCCCTGTGATAGGTGTTGTATATGGGTCACGCACAAGTGGATTTCTGTTCAACGTACCTGAGAGGAATCAGACTCGTATTAATATCAAAGCAATGTTTGTTGAAACAAGTTATTAAACCTGGTTAAGTAGGGTGTGTTGTTCTGCACGTTTTCTAGAAAGGTTTAGCCCTACTAAGTAGATGTAAAGCATGTAATCCTCTGTAACTTGCTCACATAGATGACTCTCAAAAGGGCTCAAGTAATGAATTTTAGTGGCGAATCCATGAAACTTTTATTAGTTTAATGAGACGCATGGCAAATCTCTTTTTTGACTATGTATATAAGAATTCAGACACACTCGTGCCATAGTTGCTTTTGCATTTTTATATGAATAATTTAAAAGAAGTTTCCATGCCTTTACTCTCTTTATCCGTATTTCTTACAATTTCCTCTCTGCAGGGGAAAACTTTGATCAGAGCCCCCTTAAAAGGACCTTCAAATCCAAAGTTCTGGCCCACTACCCAGAGAACATCGAGTGCAGCCCATTTGACCAGGATGCTGTTAACATGGTAAGTGACTACAGTTGTTTTTTTTTTTGTTGTTTTTTTTAATTTTTTATTGAATTTTCATATAATACAAATATAACAAAACATCAACCACGCCCAAAAAATAATAAAAATAAAATAAATAAATAAAATAAAATAAAATAAAAACTCTAAAAACATTTTTTTTCTTTTATTCATTCCAGTATTGTTTGCTTTTTTTTCTATTTTTTTTTCTATTTTTATTTTATTTTATTCCTTTTCAAAAGCTGTTTTAAAGTAGTAGAATAGTTCACCCAAAAATTTAAATTCTGTCATACTCACCCTCATGTTCGTCTTCGGATCACAAATGATCTTTTTTAAATGAAATCTGAAAGCTTTCTGTCCCTCCATTGACAGCAACTACCACTTTGACTCTTCAAAAAGTTTATAAAGAGATCATTTTTGGGTAAACTATCCCTTTAAGTGTGTTTAGGTCACACCAGAGCATGGTGAGGCTTGTCAACCAGGGTTAACTTTTACGAAATCCATAACATCCGACACATCTTAACTTGTTTTGTTTCCCTTTCAAATAAAGGTTCCCTCATGCAATCTCAATATTTCTCACATTAGTCATTGGAGAGATCTGTATCTACATTGATTTGGAGTGTCATAACGTGTTTACACAGACTCTCGCTCATTCTGTGGTTGCATGCAGTTAACAGCCGAGGGGTTTGTGTTACTGTCCCGGAGCATGCGGAGGTAACGAAAACCTCTGACCTATCGTTCCCGTGCAGCAAGGTCATTTTTTCCATCAGCAAACGTAAACGGAAGCTTGGCTGTAGTGACACCGGCATCAATTATTCATCCCAGCCTCTCTGCTTACGTCGGTATGGAAACGGCTCATTGTGCGTATTCTCGCTCTGTAAAGAAACGCCTGAAGTGTACAGGATTGCCAGTCATGATGCCATCACATCATTTGAGCGAAACATTTGGAATGACGTTCCTGTTGAGTCATTTTTCAAGGCCAGACTATTCTCTGCAGAGGTTCACACGTAAAAAAAAAAAGACAGCTTGCAATCACAGTAGTCCATTCTCGGTTTTCCCCAGTGATTACTTTCATTTTTCAATTCCACTCTTGACTAATCTTCTTTTCACTCCCGCATTCTTTTGTTCTCTTGCTGTCCTCTCCTTCCTTTTCTCAATCTTTTCAGTGCTTGCCTGTTTCAGACAGCACTTGAATGACACTATTTAATTATTCCGGGGCTCACGTGAACAGGTTACTGTATTCACACTGTATGTGCGAGCAGCACAATAAGAGCTTCCTGACCTCTGTGGTGTGGAAAACAAGCTGGCAATGTTCTGTAAACCTGTTTATCAGCACACTATTTGGGGATTTTATAAGCTTTTATGAAGAAACAAAAAAATAGTGAACTGCTCGTATATATTTTGAAACAAATGGGAAACTAACTGCATGTCTTTAGTAACCAATAAGGTACGAGAGGCTGTGCTGTATCGTGAATAAGTAACTGCTGAAGGGTTTCGTTGTTTACTTATTCACGATACAGCACTTGCCTCGAATACCTTATTGCTTTTATAAAACGGTTGCCACACAATATTAAAGTAAAAAACAATGTATTAGTGCAACTTTCTTGAAGTAAAATCACTAAAAGCCTTCCTTCCGCTAGAAAAATAGTCCCTGAGCGTGAACAGCAACAACGTTCCAATGTGTAAAATGCATGAAAGCTCAAATAAAAACAACATAGAACCGCAGTGTTGCGCAGCGATCAATAGAACCGTCAGGGGAAGCGGTCATAGCCGTGTTTTATCGTCAATAAAGCACAGCTCTTGACCAATCAGAATCAAGGATTCGAACAAACCGTTTTATAAATAGATGTACAGCACATTATATTTAGATGTTAATCTAAATATGTTGTGCTTTTACTTCATAATTAATTTAGTATGTACAACCCTTACAAAAAATACTATATTGCTAGCATGGTACATTAATTTTGTCCATCAGTCAGAAGTTTACCCACTAATGCTTTAATTATTGTTATTGCCATAAGTTTTTTTTTTTTTTTTTGCTTCAACTCATAAGATCAAAATAAATAAATATTATTGTTATCATAATATTTGCTCCAGCTCATACATTTATATTAATATTTATAAAATATAAAATGTATTTAAAGGGTTAGTTCACCTAAAAATGAAAATTCTGTTCATCTTCGCAACACAAATTAAGATATGTTTGATTAAATCTGAGAGCTGGATCACTCCTCCATACTTGTCCATAGGCATCTTGAGGGATTGAAACTTGCCGGCCTCAAAGTTATTAAAGACATCGTTAATATAGTCCAAGTGACTACAGGGGCTCAATCTTAACTTTATCAAGAGACAAGAATACTTTTTGTGCGCAATAAACAACAAAAATAACGACTTTATCTCAAATATTTATTTACTTCTCTCTCTGCCTCGAGTCAGGTTACTAGTTTAATAATGTAAGCTTATGTTGTTGTACGTCACACGCATAACACACATGACCAGCGTCGGCCAATAGTGAGCCTACGTGTGACGTAGCTCCATGCTATCACACTACGTTAACTGACTAGAGGCGCATAGAGAAGGAAGTAAATAGTTGAAATAAAGTTTGTTTTCACGCACAAAAAGTGTTCTCGTCGTTTGATAAAGTTAAAATTGAGCCACTGTAGTCACTTGGATTATTTTAACGTCTTTAATAACTTTTCGAGGCCGGCAAGTTTCAATTCCTCAAGAAGCCTATGGACTAGTATGGAGGAGTGATCCACCTCTCAGATTTCATCATAAATATCTTAATTTGTGTTCCGAAGATGAACGAACATCTTACGGGGTTGGAACAACATGAGGGTGAGTAAATACTGACAGAATTTTCATTTTTGGGTGAACTAACCCTTTAAGTAACAGTAATAATAAATATAAATCTTTTTATTGTTATTGCTCAAATAACAAAACCCAGCTCATCAATAAATAAAAAGACTCAGGTTAGTGTTCACTGTTCAGACTCCGGTTGGAAACGTAAACCGTCAAATCCCTGTGTGTATCAAATTGCACATTACAAGCATCATTACAAAATATGTAGTTACTGAAGCAATGTTTTCTCTTTCTCTTCAGCTCTGCATGCCCAAAGGTCTGTCCTTCCGAACACAGCGTGACAGCCGGACCCCACAGTTCCACTCTTTCCTCATCACAAGAGAAGACGGCTCTCGCACTTATGGTTTCGTTCACACCTTCTACGAGGAGGTGACCAGCCCTCAGATCTGCTCCGCCATGCAGACGCTACTCCAGATGCACCAAGCGGAGCATAATACATCAGCGCATAACTGCCCTTCGTCGTCCTCCTCCTCCTCCTCTAGTATGGACTCTTTAGCCAGCAGCCTGGATGAAGTGGAGTCTCCTTCCTCATCTTCATCCTCACAAGGGGGTCGCAGGAGCTGTGGCTGCTCTGGCGAAGGATACGACTCTGTTCGCGACACTCTGTACGTGTCCAAAGCTATGTGTCTAATCACGCCTATGCCCTTCATGCACGCCTGTAAACGCTTCCTGTCCCAGATCCACCTGGCCGTCACTTCACATCAGCCACCCCCACTCCCTTTGGAAAGCTACATCTACAACATCCTCTATGAGGTACCCTTGCCACCGCCCGGACGCTCTTTAAAGTTCCACGGAGTGTGTGAACCTATTCTGTGCCAGAGGCCTGGTGTTGGGGAGCTGCCATTGGCTGATTTTCCATTGGGTGAGGCCTTCCGACTGTTAGGTGTGGAAAATCTGGTGCAGCTTTTCACTTGTGTTCTGCTGGAGATGCAGATCCTCCTCTACTCGCAGGGTAAGAAATCAAGGATTGTAATATAAAAAAATAAAATGAAAGTTTTAATTTCATTTATTTCAATCATTTCATTTTCAATAATTTCAAATCAATTAATTTTAAAGCAAATCTTTACATTTTAAATAATTTCAAATCATTACATTACAAATCATTTCAAATTAAAAATTAATCTAAAATATTAAAATGAAAATGCTTTTATTTATTTTTTTATAAACAATTTTCAGTGATGCTGCATTTCCAAACAATATATTGCCTTTTTGTTCTCGTAATTTTGTGTCTCATGACTTATGGATCAGCCACAATAATTTAAAGTCATACATAAGTAACCTGGTTGCCTTAATTTTAAGTTCATTGAACTGGAAAAAGTGAGTTAATACAATGAAGGAGATTGATTTAATCAGAAACTCAAAATTATATGTTATCTGAACTAAATAAATTATTTAAGTTGATTTGACAAAAGAAAAAATGTTGTGATAACTACACTGTAAAAAAATATTGTTGGTTTAACTTAAAAAAGTATGTAACCTGGGTTGCCTTAAAATTTTAAGTTAATTGAACTGGAAAAAGTGAGTTAATACAATGAAGTAGATTGATTTAATCATCAGAAACTCAAAATAATAAGTTATCTCAACTAAATAAATTATTATAAAGTTGATTTGATGAAAGAAAATATGATGTGTTAACAAATCTTGAAACTATTTGGGGGCTTTAATATGCAACATTAATATTCAATTTGATTTAAGCTATTTCAAATATAAATCTAATGTTTTATCGATTGGCTCCTACTTTTTACATCAATTTTACAGACTGTGTCTTCGGTTTTGTCTCTATGCAGACCATTTCTTCTTTTATTTAAGCATTTAAATTTTATTTATGATTCTGGCAAATGAATCTTTGCAGGGCCTTTGATGTGGAGACTGAGTGAATGTAGAGGAGTCTAATGAATATTACATTACCCTTCTGCAGCACATATGCTTTTCACCAAACACAAGCTGATACACATGCTAATGAATTCCTCCGACTGTTCCCTAGATAAACTAATGATAAGACTTTATGAGAAACACCTATTAATAATCACACTGCCCTGTTTTAGTAGGTCTACCATACAGGTGTGTGTCTTTCATAAAATTTCAGTCAGATCCACAAGTAGAAAACACTTTGTTCGTTGCTGGGATTTAAGGCAGTCAATTTTTACATTTTTGAATTTTTACATTTTTGACCCTCATTTCAACAAATTTATTACATATATAACTTTTTTATTGTATAATGTTTTCTTATAGTTTTTTTGTGATTTGAACGTTTGCTTTGTATACGTCTAGACTACCAGAGGCTCATGGTGGTTGCGGAGGGAATCACAACGTTGCTGTTCCCATTCCAATGGCAGCATGTGTACGTGCCCATCCTTCCCGCTTCCCTGCTGCACTTCTTGGACGCCCCTGTGCCCTATCTCATGGGCCTGCAGTCCAAAGAGGGCACGGACCGCTCCAAACTAGAGCTGCCTCAAGAGGTAACTCACACACACTTGCATGGTACATACTCACTCACAAATTTGAAAACACATTCACACTCCTTATCATGGCACAGCCACTTAGGGACCTTGGACGTGGACGCATCTGTCAAGTGGGCTGTTTTTCTAAGAGGCTTTATAAGTTTCGAGTCGACGATTGGTGATCTGCATATGAGAATGCCCTCAGTGCCTTTAAAAAGCTCTGGAGGCCTTTGCTGAAAATAGCAGCAGGAACAGTATGAGGCTTTCTTTTACAGTCTTGATGCTGGAATGCAGTTACTTCCATGTTGACGTTTGGCGTTATCGTCAGATCCTTCTTTTTCTTTGTCGCACGGTATCAGTATTCTTAGCAGAGGTTTATTATTCATGATTTGTCTGTCTGGGTGCTGCGAGGCTTCCCCACATCCTTATCCCTAAATCCCATTTTCCGTAAACTCCACATCCAGATTCCCTGCTATGCATTCTCTTTGAAGTCGCTCTGACCTAGAAAAAAATAATACTGGTGAGAACAAGACACACCAAAGGGGAATGAGTGAGGAAATGGCTCATTGGTTTCCATTTTACTATGTGACTTCCGTGTTTCTTTTTTGCTGTGTTGTATTATTAGTGAGGATTTGGAAAAGAGCTATCTATACACTACCAATCTTTTTGAAAAAAGTCTCTCACCGAGGCTGCATTTATTTAAACAGGTAAAAAAAAACAGTCATATTGTCAAGTATTACAACTTAAAATAGGCCTAACTGTTTTCTATTTATATACATTTTAAAATGAAATTTATTCCTGTGATGGTAGAGCTGTATTTGCAGCATCATTACCCCAGTCTTCAGTGTCGCATTATCCTTCAGAAATCATTCTAATATACTGATTTGCTGCTCAGGTTTGGGGTCTTACTAACCCTAAACTTTTAAACGGTAGTGTAGCAACTCTAAAAAGTGATACTGAATACTGTTGATTCAAATTGTTTGCTGTTAGCAATTTAAACAAACTGTTTATTAGAGTATTGCACTGTTAGCTTAGCATGTTGCTAAGCTAACAGTGCAATACTCTAATAAACAGTTTGTTTAAATGAACAGCACACAAATATTAGGCAAATTATTAATACAATAAAATGATTATTTACATTTTGCCTTCACCATCCTGGATTTTTCCACTGACCTTGTTGCAGTGAATTCTAGGCTTGCTATTTTCATAAAGTCGTCTCTTGAGGCTGGATTCTGCTAAAATGCTGCTCTTTTCACAATCTCTTCCTTGTCCTTGCTTCAAAACCACTTGAGGCTGATATGTCATTGTGTAATAGATGGCTCATAGTAGTTCAATTATCATGCTCCAGCTCCTGTCCATTGCCTTTGCCCAGAAGAGAACAGGATTAAATTCTGATCAGGAACAGTGCTGGTGGTTGTGTATATAAAACTCAAACAAGCCAGCGAGTGCACAGACACATCTGACACTTTTCAAATAATATAAACGTATAATTCGGAAGATGGTTAAATCGGTGGCCCTCAAATCGTAACTTTAAATACAGTTTAAATACACACACTGGCCTAAATGCTTCTTTCTGACAGGCTGTCAGCAGTGTGACCTGACAGAGCGGACAGTTCTGCTTGACTGATTTATTTTTACAGCAACAAGGTCACACACACACACACACACACACTAACTTTAGGCCATTTTAAGCGCATGAGCTGCATTGCATGTGACTGAACAGCTGTGTCACACAGAGCGATATTTCTAATGATCCACTGGATTGATTTAACCTAATTCCTTTTGAATATTGTAATCCCCCAGCAGGCTATTCTGCGTCAAATCAACCAAATGTCATTGCTGATGATATTGCTGAGTAATCTGGGGTCAAAATGACAGTTTTCACCTGAGATTTGGAGCCAAATTACAGGGGGTAAAAATGACTTTAGAAAGATGGCAGCATCATTATTTTATTTTTACACAGGTTGGTAGGTCTATTTGTAAAATCTGTTGACTTCAGTAATCTTTGTATAATTATATTCCAACGGTGTCGTTAAAAAAATGGCAAAAAGCACTACTTTTTTGCCTCAAGTTTGCATCCATGTAACTCAAGAATTATCAAATATATCTTCAGATTCTGTTTCTTAAACTTTTCTTTTGATATTTTCATAAAGGGCCTCAATTGTTCAATCCCAGAGATATTGAGATCATAATGTGGCTCCGTGAGTAAATTGGTGAATTGTAGACATTTTCAGTGGTCAAAAACCAAATGTGGGTCACTTTGCATACAACTGTTACTTTATTTGTTCTTCAGATATTTCTCTTAAAAAGAAAAAATGATGAAACTAGTCTAGAAATGTATCTTGTGTCTTTCTATAAACACAGTTGCATTGAACATACCTTCCTGAGTGCCATAAATATTCAAAGTTTTCATGTCTGTAACTCTAAAAGTATTCAAGATATCTTAATATCGTTCTAGATTCTCGTTCTTAATGAACTTTCCTTTTGAAATCTTAATTTTCAAGGTGCTATAAAGTTATGTCTCATATGGGGATCTCAAAGCAGCTACATGTTCAAATTTTTTCATAAAGATTTGAAGTTGTCTTTTGTTTTGTATCTTTAGGTTTGATGTAAAAAAAAAAAAGAGTGTTAACGCTACGCGAACTGGAACTAAATGTATAATTTTCTTTTTTGGTCCGGACCAAAAGAACCAAGAAAACTACAAGTGTGAACATGCTTAAAAAAAATGGATGTTTGTTCTGTTTGGCACATCACAATGAATTTTATTTAATTTTATTTAATTTAAATGTAATATTTGAACTGATCCAAATTCTCTGCCCTTAAAGAAATAGTTCACCCCCAATTTTTTTTTTACTGGCTCTTGTTGTTTCAAACCTGTATGTGTTTCTTTCTTCTGTTGAACACAAAATAAGATATTTAAAGAAAATGGGTAACCAAACTCTTTATGGGCCCCATTGACTTCCATAGTATTTTCCTCCTCAGGCGAACCTGTGTTTCGTTGACGTCGACAACCACTGCATCGAATTGCCTGAAGACTTTCCTCAGTTTCCCAACAAGACCGAGTTCATCCAAGAACTCAGTGAGGTGTTGCTAAGCTTTGGCCTGTCTCCCGCGGGAGGCAACACCTCCCCTGAACCTCAGTCCTCCACGCTGGAGAAGGAGCTGAAGAGCACATCCTTGAGCGAGTTAGTGGACGACAAAAGGAACGGGAACCTCGGTGGGGAGGCGCTGGACATGCTGGAACTTCTTCAAGGCAACCCGACCCTGGAGCGTTTGCAGGCTCTGGCCAAAAGGACTGGGGTCAAAGTGGCCCGTCTGGAGGCATTGGCAGCGGGACAGAAGGCCGTAGGGGATGAGGGCGTTGGAGGAAGGTCTCCTGTTGAGGAAGAGGAGCTGAGGAACGCTAAACTGAACGTGCAGCTGAGGGAGGTGTTCGCCGCACGCTTCGCGACAATGTTTGCGGACTACGAGTCGTTTGTGATTCAGAACTCGCCAGATTTGGAGTCCTGGCTGACAAACAGAGAGCAAATGCACAACTTTGACAAGGTGACTGGCGTGTTTCACACTCGATGCATAAAATAAATCAAATACATTCTCAATATTATTTTTTTCTCTCTAGTTTGTCACTTTTTATTGGTCTTGTACCAAAGTTTTTATCAAAAGCCTCATTCATTATTAAGTTTTCATTTGATTTCTCCTCAGGCATCATTCTTTTCAGACCAGCCGGAACCGTACTTGCCCTTCCTGTCCCAATTTCACGAAACGCAAATGTTTGCCACCTTCATCGACAACAAGATCATGTCTCAATGGGAGGAGAAGGAGCCCCTCCTACGAGTGTTTGACGGACGCATTGAGAAGGCCCGCCTCTACAACGTCCGCGCCCCCAGCTTGCGCTCGTCTGTTTACCAAAATGCACGTTCCTGAAGGAATCGGGTAAGAAATATTCAGAGTTAGTGGTCTGCTATGAGATTGACTTCTCTTAATATATTAAATGTCAAATTGAACTAGAGTCAACTGTTTAAGTTTGATTTTTACCACTCTGCGCTACTTTTAAAACATTGCTTAACATGTCAATCTCTCAACCACTGAAGTAAGTTTGAGACAAGAATATTTTTCCAGACAATATCAGATGGGGCAGAGCAATAAGGAAAAAAATGACAAAAATTTTGTTCACTTGCCACAGAAATTAACACTTCATCTTTAAATGAACATAACATTCAAATTATTATTTTCTTTTAAATTATAATTATCCAGAAGTACAGTAAAACACAAGTTACTTCAGATATCATACTGATTTGATAATGATAAGAAATGTTTCTTGAGCTGCAGTGTTTAAAACAGTTGGAAACCATGATATATTTTTTATAAATTAAAAGTTCAAAAAGAACAGTTTAAGACACCTTTTGAAATGTGTCTTTACGGTCACATTTAATGTGTCATCACTGATTTAAATTATTCATTTCTTAAAACAATAAAAAATGTGTAGTCTGTCACGTTACGCAAGTAATAAAATATAAATGCCTTTCATGTCAATACAATTTTCAAATTGTCATGTTTGAAGTTTTTTTTTACTTTGGGTAGTGTATTGAGTTTTGGTGCTGTTTTTCGCATCTATGAACAGATTTGCAAATCAATTTTATTCTACTGCATTGGAAATTGTCTTCTCATTTGATGCCTTATTGAGTTTTGTGCAATCACCCTTCATCATTCTTTTTCGAAACGATGGTTATTTCCCCAGTCGAATTGTGTATTTCAATTTTAATGAAGCTGTATAAAAAAAAGTCGCTGCTGCTTATGTGCGCAGATGATTATAGAGAGTGACAGTTCAAGAGGGCGGCCGAGAAGACAGGAGGGAGGGAGAGAGAGAACAGAAGTGTTTGAAAAATGAGGAGAGGAGCACAGATTGAAAGAACTGAAGAGCGTGTCCCTAA